GCAGATAAGTGGTAAATCACTGAACACTGATAGCTCTGACCTAGGTTCGATTTCAGGCGAACGGGCTGGCTGCATGGGCATTTTCATAGTTTCCCCAATACGTAACGTGACACGAGCCACTTTCTCTTAAAAAGTCTCCACAAATGCATCCTTTCCCTTAGGCAGATACACTGAAGTGACAAAACTCATGGGATAGCAATATGCAAATATACAGATGGCAGTAGAATCGCGTAGAAAATGTATAAATGTGAAGTGCTTTGACAGGGCTTTCATTTGTGTTCAAGTTATTCATGTGAAGAGGCTTTGACGTGATTATGGCTGCACGACGAGAATTAACAGACTTTGAACACGGAATGGTAGTTGGAGCTAGATACATGGGTCATTCCATTTCGGATATCGTTAGGGAATTCAACATTCCGAGATCCACAGAGTCAAGAGTGTGCCGAGAGTATCTAATTTCAGGCATAACATCCCACCATGGACAGCACAGTGGCTGACAACCTGCACTTAACGACCGAAACCAGCGACGTCTGCGTAGAGTTGTCAATGTTCACAGACAAGCAACACTGCGTCAAATAACCGCAGAAATCAATGTGGGACGTGTCCGATAGGACAGTGTGGCGAAATTTATCTTCCTTGGGCTATGCCAGCAGAAGACCGACTCGAGTGCCTTCACTGACAGCACGACATCGCCTGCAGCGACTCTCGTGGGCTCGTGAGCATATCGGTTGGTCCCTAAACGAATGGAAAACCGTGGCTTGATCAGATGAGTCACGATTTCAGGTGGTAAGAGCTGATGGTAGGGTTCGAGTGTGGCGCAGACCCCACGAAGCCATGGACCCAAGTTGTCAACAAGGCACTGTTCAAGCTGGTGGTGGTTCCATAATGGTCTGAGCTGTTTTTACATGGCATGGACTCGGTCCTCTGGTGCAACTGAACCGATCATTGACTGGAAATGGATACCTTGAGCTACTTGGAGATCACTTACAGCCATTCATGGACTTCACGTACTCAAACAAGGATGGGATTTTTATGGATGACAATGCGCCATGTCACCGGGCCACTATTGTTCGCGATTGGTTAAAAGAACATTCTGGGCAATTCCACCGAATGATCTGGCCACCTAGATCACCCGACATGAATCCCATCAAACATTTATGGGACATCATCGAGAGATCAGTTCGTGCCCAAAACCCTGCACCGTCAACACTTTCACAATTATGGATGTCTATAGAGGCAGCATGGCTCAATATTCCTGCAGGGGACTTCCAACAACTTGTTGAGTCCATGCCACGTCAAGTTGCTGCACTTCGCCGGACAAAATATTACGAGGTATCCCATGACTTTTGTCACTTCAGTGTAGTCCTACTGTGCTTTGCCATAATCAACTAAACCAACCTTTAAAAATAATACTATATGTTGAAAGTATTTGGTGACAACAACCTTTTACTTGAAATGTGATTAGACGAAAAAAGGAGGATTGAGGATTCTATCTATAAAAAAAAATTTCTTACTGATAATTATCAATTTGAAAAGCCATCATAAATTTTAAATGATTTTTCAAACTAATTTTTTGCATAATCTAAATTATTCTCAAATTAGTCAAATATTTTTAATTTCCTATTTCTAGAAATGAAAATGCTAAACTTTTATTTAACCAAAGCTAATGAAGCAGATTATTTTAAGGACATTATCTGATACAGATTTGAATTTAACTAAACATAAAAATAATTCTTTTTGCACTTGGTAAAAACTAGATTAAAATCTTATTCAAGATGGTGAAAGATAATAGCATACTATTAAGTAACAATACTCATCTAGCTGAAATAAATAGGCTAAACTGTCGAGCTTATTTGTAAAACCAACTTGAAATTTTCACCATAATTTTCAATCAGTACCTAATTTTAATGCCTTTATGGCAAATTTACTTACTGGAAGAAATATTTATTGCATTACTACTATGTGTGTGTGTGTGTGTGTGAGTGGTAATGGCAAAGCCTCGAGGGCTATCTGCCTAAGAGGAGGGATGCCTTCGTGGAGGACTTTCTAAGGGAAACTGGCTCGTATACACGTTACACATGGGGAAAACCACGAAAACACCCATGCAGCCAGCCCGTTCGTGGGATTCGAACCTCGGACCGAACTACCAGTGTTCAGCGACTTTACCGCTCGGCCGCTGGTGGGCCATTACTACTATGAAATCAGCATTATTATATATATATATATATATATGATATGCTGCATTTCTAATAAATCATTTGCAACCTTCAAATATAAAAAAAAATCTGATGTGTACACCACATGACTTCTTTGTACGGAATATTAAATTATACGCATTTGTTTCTGGCATTTCTTTTAAACTTATTGGATTTAATTAAATCTACTTCGCTGACAGCGCATAAACCATAATAGAATAAAGGCATTCTTTAAAATTCACTCTATTTGTTTAACATAGCGACACTCTGACACTAGGTTCACTTAACAGTATTATATTTCATTCATATTATAACTCAGTATGCACAAAATGTATATCATTTAAAAAATTATCTAATCGTTGCCACATGTTCTTTTCAAATACTATAATAAAGCTAGAATGATGTAAAAAAAATTAAGCAAAACAAAACAAAAAAGAAACAGTTTTTTCACAGACGATTGAGTATTTCTCATTCATTAATTCAGTTTTCACTTCGCGACAAGACAAAAATACATAAAAGCTCAAAATATCTGTATTAAAAATTACTAATTATTAAAAATTAAGTAAATCTTAAACACTTATTTCCTCGCAAAAATTCCAGAAAGGATTAAGCATGATTTAATTCGCAATAATAAATGAAGGTGTTATTTTTGTTGTTGCGAAGCTTATTCTCTCTAGATGGGCAACAAACCTACAATTCTGCTGTTTCAAATGTAAACAAATATGTCCGCCATGTTATTTAAAACTTAACCGCACTTAAACAGCTTTTCAATTGTTCATAATTGTACAAATATTGCTTCCAGAATTACGAAAGGCATAAAAACCTTAACCGGAAGATAAGAACAACATAATTCAATCATTTTTAAAGCAAAAAATGTACAATTTACAAACATATAAGCGTAAAGAAACTGAGATCACTGTGCCGAGTAACGGAGTGGATATATTATATGCATTTGGTGCGGCCGACTGCAACCAAAATACGAGGTAACCATCTACATGTTATGGCAGTCCTATATACAAAACTTCAACGTTCTGAGGCTACTCGTTTTTGAGTTATTCGAGATACGTACGTACGCTTGTATGCACGTACGTACATATGTTCGTACAGACACCATGAAAAATTCTCTTCAGAGTTAATTTTAAAGCAGTTTTATAATTTTTTTGGAGGAAACGAGTCTTTTATTCTGTCCTTACGTACAGATATCATGCAAAAATATCGTTACATTGCATTCGATAGCGGTTAAAATGGATATTTTCGTTGACATATGCTGCCTGAAACTTTTCGCGATTACAATACCTCCTTTTTACTTCGTACAAGGAAATAAAAATGTAAGTTTTCTAAAGGTGTTTGCACCACACACCGGCACCATTTTATAAGACTTCAAAACTGAATTAAAACCACTTTATAATGCAGGTTTCAGTTTATTCAACTATTTATATGATTCTGATGCAAAATTCATAATATTGGTTAAAATATATATAATATATATATAAACATAATATGGTTAAAATGGATATTTTCGTTGACATATGCTGCCTGAAACTTTTTGCGATTACAATACCTCCTTTTTACTTCGTACAAGGAAGTAAAAATGTAAGTTTTCAAAAGGTGTTTGCACCACACACCGGCACCATTTTATAAGACTTCAAAACTGAATTAAAACCACTTTATAATGCAGGTTTCAGTTTATTCAACTATTTATAATATGATTCTGATGCAAAATTTCATTCAATATTTTGTAAATTAAAAGACAATTTCTTAGTATAGAAGGAAACTTTAATTTATCAAAGTACTTTTAAACACAGTAAAAATAAAAAATTATGTACATACTACTATGTGAATAAAATTAGTAATGCACCATGTAAAAAAGTAAATTCAAATTTTTGAGAATCAAAGATTTTAATCTTCATATAAATTTCTATAAATGTCTGCAATAGATTAAGGTAATTCAGATGGAATAATATTTAATAAGAAAACCATGTGGAAGATCACTACATGTGTTAGAATAGGATTTGCACAATTCAACTTTCATTAACTCAATGATGAAACTTTTAATACGTACATTTTATTTACACCTTTTAATTTTACCAGTTGCTTATGCAGCCAGCCACTTGGAATAGTTATTACGGAAAAGGAACAATACATAATGATTTTGATGAGTCCAGTTAGGAGAAATTCATAAAAATATTTAATATTCCTAATCACTTTTAACAGATAAAATTTGAAAGTTAAATATCTTATGTATTACTGAATGGCAACATGCTGGCATTAGAAAGATAAAAATACTTTATTTCAGGCAGTGGCAACACACTGCTTTCAAGCAGCGAGTTTGTTGATTAAAATTGAAAAATAAATATCTTACATTTTGCTGAATGACAACAGTCTGGTGACCAAGAGATAAAAATATTTTATTCTGAGTAGTGGCAACACTGCTCATTTTCAAATCACGGAGCTTGTTAATAAAAAATTCAGAAAATGAAATAAATAAACAACAAATTTGAAATTCCGGATTCGAGGGGCATAGCTTTGGTAAAGAACCATGGATGTTCAAAATCTGGTGTCCTTAGCTACCACCAATTTTCCACAATGCAAGGAACATACATACAGATTCTTCATTATTTACAAACAGAAAGTGAAAAACACTTTCATTAATAAAGGTTAAAAATTAAAAACCGAGAGTCTGGAGACCTACCGAGACATTGGGAGATGTGTCGAGAAAACAAGAAAGTTTCCAGCTGTGCATTTGAGTTGATACATAACATTATTGGATTAGGCTATAATCAGTTATTATGAAACTGCACAATATTTTAATTTATCTGTTTTATTTACTTCACATATGCTCTAAGCTACAGTATCACAAGGTACAATAATGCTCTGTATGGCTATTAACTACAACATGTATAACTAGGAACATGGCATAAATTTTTATACCAATACTTTTTTTATTACCATATACAAGATGGCAGTGCTAATATTTTTCATTTAAAAAGGATTTAATTGAATACTTGAATCACAGTGTCACAGAATTCAGAAACCAGAAATACATCTCACATTTAAATGATTGAAAAAAGCCAACATATATGATGACTTTTAATCCATACACAACACTGAAAACATATTCACAAGAAAAACAAATTCATTTAAAAGTGACAAGATACCATCAATATTATTGTTACTACAAACTCTTACAGTTCCTCATTCTTTAATAAAGTAGGCCAACACTTTATAAAACATTAAAAAATTTTAATTGTTATAAAATTTAAAAATATATGACAATAAAAACTGGTAAATATTAAAAAAAAGTTAAAAATAAGGTACTTTTCCATTAAATGCCCACAATCTAAACAAATTTCTTAAAGACATAGTCAGTTACACGTGGAGAAGTGAAAACTATCTTAACTAAATATTTTGAGGTGGCTAAACTTGTTTTTATGTTTTGATCTGGCTTTCGAAGTTCTTTGTAGTTCGAAGTCCTTGCAACGATACTTTTTTTTTTTTTTTTAATCTTCCATACAATGAAACAAACAGATTCAATATAAACGAAGCAGTATTATCCCTTCAGAGAAAAAATGCTCCAGTCTGCACAAACCATTTTATTTAACTCTTGAAAGAATCAAATTAGCACCATAAAAGGCAAGTGGTTTAAGAATTATTATCTCCCCTTCACAACTGCCATAACATTCATTTATTTGTGTTTAATGGAATTGCCTTCCATCCAAATTTGTGAAAACACATAACTGTTGTTGACTGGAATAATTATCTACCAGAAATTTGCACTGAAAATGTTTTGGGTCAAGAACAGAAAAAAATACGAGGATCAGGGCAAATCGTCAAAATAGACGAATTTCTTTTCACGAAGCAGATGAATAATGCCAGGCGTATTTTCCCACCACAGTGGGCTTCTGGAGGAATTTGTAGTGACATAAAAGATAAATTCCTTGTTGCTGTTTTAAACAGAGGGGCAGATTGTCTGCTCAGATGTATTGAAGAAAATGTAAGCAAGGGATCCATTATCTACTCCAACTGTTGGAAGGTATATAAAGTGGATGAACTCAAAAGAGCAGGCTTTTTTCACTTCAAAGTAAATTAGAGACTGAATTTTGTAGACCAAGAAAATGGTGTTCATATGCAGACTGTACAATGTTTATGGGAGTCAGTCAAAAAAAGGAATAAACGACAACTAACAACATTTAGCAGAGTTCGTATAACAAAAAAAGATTTATTCAGCTCTGTCATCGAAGTGACTGCTTAAACAGTTTATTCTGGAAATCAACTTTGAAGTTTGAGAAAGCCAATGAAGTTTATTTCAATAAATACTAATTATTTAATCTGCTGATATTGCATATATTTTTTTAAATATTTATTTTGGGCACTTTAATAAAAATGTAGGTAACATTATCAACCATTTAGAAATTTGTTTAGATTGTGAGCACATAATGGAAAAGCACCTAAAATAATTTATATCCTAGGTATTAATTTAGGAAATAAGTTATTATTGTATAATGTTTTCTTTTTAGTCAATTAATACAAGTATTAAAATCTAAGTTTCATTTCTAATTTGAACAATTTCTAAAACCACAATAGTATAAAGTTAAAAATGAAGACTTAAAATTATATAAACATACAACTTTAAATGAATGAACTAGATTTTCCTTTATGTCTCTAGTGGACTAAGAGATTTTGTACATTTCTGTTCTTAATTAATAATGGATAGAATTATTTGGTTATGGCACAGCACTCGAGAACTATCTGTTTAAGGAAAAGGATGCCTTCATGAAGGACTTTCTAAGGGAAACTGGTTTGTATACACATTAAACACAGGTGAAAACTACAAAAATTGCCCATGCAGCCAGGATTCGAGCCTCTGACTGAACTACCAATGTTCAGCGATTTTACCGCTCGGCTACTGGTGGGCAATAATGGATAGAAATGCTATATGCATTTATAAACTTGTATATATGCTTGTGCCTAATAAATTTAATATGACTATAGATTCGCATATGCATTCAATACTAAAAATGTCTGGATGCTCAAATTTGAGGTGTATATATAGCCTGAATGCAAATGTATGCATTCCAAATGCAACAACTATTTTGTTTCAATTTTAAAAGGATTTAAAAAAAAAAATTACAACATGCTGTTTGTTTATTTACTTTTTATCCTTTTATTCTAAAGATCAAGAATCAAATTTATGTCAGGATAAAGAGAACAGAGAATTTTTTCCCTTCATTTCTTCAGAGTTGATATAATAAATTTAACTTATTAGATCAGGATCACTGGAGAAATCTACACTTATTTGTGGACTTTTTCTAGTGTTAAAAACATGGATTCAAAGTCGAAAACTTCTTTCCTAATGCTGACAAAATAAAAGACTTTAGGTACTTATCTTACACTACAACTACCTCAGTAGATTGCACAAAATTTTGACAATCATGTGCACAACACTTCTTCAGCAACACATATGATAATTTTTCAGTTTTAACCACCTCACCATTTTTGTAAGCACTCTTTTTGTTCCTATGAGTTTTTTTTATACACATATAAAGCATACTTTTGTTTTAAACTTGATTTTTCCTTAAGGGATTTGCCTGTAACAGGAGGAACTACAGTAAAAATTCTTTAGGAAAACAGTATTTTGCTTTAAAAACAACTGTTATGAAATTTTGACTAAAACAAAAGCCACTTGCAAGCAGATTTATTAATTGTTTTAAGTCACCATTCTTTTCCTTCCATAAAATATCGCTGAATTATGTCAAGGCAGTAGTACTAATATTGTTGAATTTGGCAGTTTAGTTTGCTATTAAAAAGTTTTCAGACACAATTACTATATTTCAGATTAAAAGCTAAAATTTATTCAATTCATAATAAATGGTAGTCCACAGCTCGCATTTAATGCTGGAGAACTTGGCAATGAAAGGGTTCAGTGATTTCAAAAAAATTTCAATCTTGCATTCTGTACAATTTCTGGAATTTTAGAAATAAAACCATAGGCCTTAAACATACAAAACATCTTATCTTGATTATGAAATCCCACTGACCATGAGAGTTGATAGGGATAACACTAAACATAGACAGATCATTCTAACAGAAGTTTAAAAGAAATCACTCTTCATATTTAGTTCAATAATCTAGAAGTACATTTTATGGATATTGACATAAAAACTAAAATCAGTTGTTATAAATTTGTATGCTTGCTTTGCAATTGTTTATCTGTTTTACAATTAAGTTGCATATTGTGCCCATAAATGCACACTTTTCTTGATGCTAGGAGCTCATAATTTTTAAAATATTCCATTGCAAATATTCTGTAAAAGACAGCTCCCATATTTTATTAATTTTTTTCAAAATGTGAGAGAAAACAGATAAAGCAATTAACTTATCCTTATTAATAATAAAACTGAACTAAATAATCAAGAATTAATTATGTTTGGATAATGCCAATGTGAGGATCTTATGACTGTGTTGTGACTTGTCCATTAATGGTGCTAAATTCCACTATTTGCGACACTGTCCAAAAAATGCTACAAAATAACTTTATAAATCTCCCATCTGCTCAGATTTTTTGGGGAAAAAATAAAGTTTCTAAAATTCTAAAATATTCTGGTCACTTTAGTTTATCTGGTTAGTCAGGCTTTTAATGTTGATTACATATCTTCAGAAAATCTGATGGCCAGCCTTTTAAATGCCAAACAGACAGTGTTATGATTTTGTACTGCACTTACATCATGTTACATGATACTACATTTTAACATCATCTACAATATAATGACAATATCACATTCAGAACTCAAACAGAAAGGTTAACAAGTACTCAAGTATATGAAATTATACACTACTGGTATTATACTAAATGCAATAAATGCTAAAAATTATAGTATGCATAAAAATGTTCTAACTGAAATATCTTTTCTATTATACATACTAAAATTCATTTTCACGAAAGGAAATAAATTTTAAAAATGGTCAAAATAATATTGTTATGCATATGAATAATGTACGATTTTATTTTAAATAATAAGTAATTAAAACCAACAAAATCAGCTCGATATAATTTTATAATAATTAATTTCATTTAATTTTAATCAGTTCTTTAATACTTTTAATTGCTTTTCATTTTGGTTATACAGTGTTTGAAGGTTTTTTGACGGTTTCAGTTTCCTCGAATATTTATTCTAGTCCTTTGAAATTTCAGGTGTTCAGAATTTATTGTACCTATTATGAAATTAATATCTTTAAATTGCACTTTTTGCTTTTAGATGCCCTAAGCATCAAAACGATTCTAGGGGCATCCACATACGTTTATACCAGTTTTTTCTTCATTTCTTCTCTCTCTCAGTTTTGGTTTTCCATTGCAGATTTTACCCTGCAATGGAAAAATTTTTAGTGTAATCTTTCCTGAATGTCTAAGGATTGTTTTGTGGTGTTCTTATATGGCTTAATGGTTAATCCAGCCCTGACTAAAATAAACAGCAGAGTTCTGATAAAAACTTTTGGATCACTTCCATGAGAACCATTTCAAAATAGTCTAAATTTATTTATAACAAAACTGAACCAACGAATAATTCCTTAACTGTTTCATCATAAATCTATCCTTTATAACAAATTTGAAAAGAAAATTTCACATATCTTTTATAGATAATTTTTTAGTAACAATAAACATTTTAAATTTTACAATTTTTCTTTCAACTTTAAAGAGTTTTAAAGAAGTGAAACTGCTAGAAAGACCACAGCTAAATCACGTAACTTTTGCAACAAATTTTAGTTTTTAATTGTATGAAGAAGTATTCAAGTTAAATCTCCTCAATCCATTAACTACAGCCCACCAGACTTTTAAATCTACATCTTAATGTGAAATAACCAAACAAGTATGCTATTGCACAATATACTAACACAGATTTGCATAACAATAAATGTATTTTAATATACTTTATATAATTTAATACATGATCCTACATTCCTTCACTGAAATATTTTACCATTTTATTAATATTTCATGCATCTCCAACAAGATTTGAGTAGAAACACACATTTTACAGTTATTTGACTATTATTCACATCAGACTTTCAATTACATAACAGAAAATAGTTTCAAATTTCGTAGGCAAAAAAAAATCAAAGCTCTGATATTTCTCAAGTGCACTTACAGATTAAATAATAATATAAATTAGCTCAGATATCTTATTTTCAAAATAATTAATTTTACAGAACTTTCTCAAATTAATTTCTAAATTTTTATAAACACAATTAATAAGTTATAAAACAAAAAATACTTCCTAATTAAAGCAGCCACTGCTACACTGCAATGAAATATTAAAATTGAAGAATTTATATATCCAATTCACAATAAGAGAATTTCAAATGCCAATAAGGGCTTATAGGATGACCACTTTAATAAAGTAGTACTAAATAATTAATAATAAATATTTATATAAGGAAGCAATGAATAATCAAAAATAAATATCTTATAACAAAATTTCATTATGCTGAAATTGAAAGCTCAGAAAATAAGAATTTACTATAAACAAATCTTTTATGTTTTGTTGACTTCAAATTTTCAATAAAAATTGTCAGTTTCTCTACTGGAGAACATTTTTTTTTCTAATGTATATTGATTTTTAAGTAAATAACATTAGATATATAAATAAACAGAGATTTTAAACATCTGTTTTTGTCAACATTGGACCAATATAACTCACTTCAATAATTTTAAGTTACACAAAAGACTATATCTTATAACTGTTTGATTCTATGATTATGAAATATTTCAGCAAAAAGTATGTATTATTTTTTTCTCAATACATACTACAAAAAACTAAGTAGCTAAATTCTAGAGCAAATGCTTTAGTGAGGAAGGTGTTCAATGACAGCCTGTGTGAAGTCGGATGTGCTAGAATAACCACCGAGATCCCTCGTTCGAACTTTTCCTTCTTTCAGTACATTTTCAACAGCCTCGGCAATCAAGTTAGCATAATAAACTAAGTTCACATGGCGTAGCATTCCGACCGCACAGAAAAGCATTGCGGTTGGATTTGCTATATTTTTTCCTACAGCTTCTCCAAAGGTATGACGAGCACCTGGTTCATGTATTACACAGTCAGAACTGTAGCTCGCACCAGGAACTAGACCAGCACCTCCTACTAAACCTGCTGCCAAATTATCTATTATGTTGCCATATAAATTGGGCATCACCATCACATCAAACTGTTCTGGATGTGCCACCAGCTGCATACAAGTGTTATCGATAATCATATTTGAGAATTCAATTTGAGGATACAATTTGGAAACCTCTTCGCAGCAACGCAGAAATAAACCATCACCAAGTTTCATTATATTAGCTTTGTGAACAGCTGTAACTTTCTTGCGACCTCTCTTGGTGGCATAATCGAAAGCAAATTTTGCTATTTTCTGGGAACGTTCTTTTGTTACAATTTTCAGGCACTCAATAACTCCTGGTACACTCTCGTGCTCCAAAGCACTATACTCGCCTTCAGTAGATTCTCGAATTATTACGAAATCCAAATTGCTGTGCCTTGTCTTCACACCGGGGAATGTTCTCACATGTACGACATTGGCGAAAAGATCAAGATCCTTTCTGATTTTCATATTTAATGTTTGAAGCTCACCTGTGTGTGTACTGAAAGGAGACTGAAGAGTACCTTTCAACGCTACTCCGTTCTTCTTCACTGACTGCAAAACTTCTTCGACAGATACACTCATAGATTGATGGACCTCACTTAAAAATAATTCTTCGAATTCCACCGGCACACTAATTGCCTGAAAAACATCTTTGACAGCCTGGCACAATTCAGGACCTACTCCATCACCAGGAATCAATGTGCATTTCACTCGACCATGGCTTTTAGGAACATTTTTTGCTTGCTCTTCACTATATATCGGTGACCAGAAGATAGATCGAGCATGAGTTTTAACTCCATTAAGACGAAATTTATCAAAAATAACACCACCGCGGAGAAAAATACTAGATAAACATTTGCGAGATGCCATAGCGGTCGCTCAAGAGCAGAAAGGAAATTTTTATTCACACAGCTTCAAAAATTTGCTTTGGAAAATACGTATACGTTTATCGAGCTGAGAAGCACATACGTCCTTCCAATCAAATTCTACCACACTCCCAGCTTGTTGCTGACGTCAGGGAACCATTTTATCCAATGAAAAGGGTTCCTGATGGAAAACTATTTCAGAGATAATTTACGAATAAAATAGCTTTTCGATTTGTGAAGTTGGCATTTTATTTCCTTTTTATTTTGATTTTATTTCGGAGATCATTGCTTAACAACCCATTTCTCACTTTTTTTAAGCAAATAAAATGGTATAACAGATATTTTTTGTACAACAACCATAATTAATTAAGAAAGTTTATTTTCATTAACTTCAGATAGAAGTGCAATGGATTAGCTCATTTAATTATTTCTGTCAAAATAAATGAATAAATTTGTTTAAATTAAGTGCAGAAAGACCGTAAAGTATCATATTGTTACGGATTTCGTATTTATTTAGTTTGCTATTTTTAATAGAATTGTTATTAAAATTATTTTATATTCCCGTGCAATGCAGCACGAGACTTATTTGAAGAGAAAGCTACGCCAGAAAAATTAAATACAGAAGCACGCGCATCTAACATTTTAATAATAGATATCTCGTAATTGTACGCTTTTGCATTCCGGAAAAATCAAGAAAATACGAGAAGTTTCTAGTGCATGTTTAAAAAGCTTATAAAAGCTGGAGAAAAACATCTCAATTCAGTTGTTTACTTACTGTTATGCTTGATTGTAGCGAATTCGCGGTGAGATCGGATTAAATTTCTCTGTTTTGAATTACGTTCTGTTGAACGGTTTAGTAGTTTAAAATATAACTTCGGTGAGATAGTGCGATATTGTACGAATATCTCTAAGGAAATTTAAACATTTTGGTTTTATTTGTTGTGATAAGAATAAATTTATTCACTTTTCATTGGACTTAAGCATTCTATTTATTACGAGCCCGTACGCACGCAAGAATATATTATTAAGACTCAGCAAAAATAAGACAGAAGACTGCTTTATCTCTTCACATCTTCTCAATTAAGTTTTCTAGTTACGCGCTTAATGAAGAAGATTTATAGAAATAGAGATTAAATTCTATTAAAATTTAAGGCATTGGCAATTACATAAATAACTTTCATAATCAATACATATTCATGAAATATTTTTAATATAACTGTTTCTTTTTAAAGAAGAAATTTTCTCTTACACCTATTAAATCTAGACAAATTTTGTTACGGCGATTCCGTTCGTCCGCCTATGCGTTTTAGTTTATATTTTATCTCAATAGATGGCAGCACTATACTTATGCCTTGAATCGGCAATAAAGTGTAATGGAAAAGAAATTCACAAACATTTAAATATCAGAGCTTTATTAAAAATTCATAGGCATACTCTAATTAATATATGGAAGTTTTTTGCGATTTCTAGCACTCTACGAAACAAGTTTCTGTTCACTATTCTTAAAAATTTTACAAAATTTTATTCTGGGTTTGAGCCAATAAAAGTACAGTGCTACCCAGATTGAGTATTTGAATGCAGGTCTTATAAAAATCGGTAATAATGAAACTTTTTTGCCACTAAAGTAATAAATTAAATAATTTTTTAAAATCTGATTTAATTTTTTTAGATTTAAATTTTTTTAAATTTTATTTTAAAGTTTTTTTACTCTGAAATTTACTAAGAATCGCTTTCTGTGTTTATAATTTAACATCTGATTCAGCAAGCAGTTCTCGGCGCGGCCGTTATCTAGTTAGAAGCGCATACGATCTACTGATAAGATGCTACAAAGAATCCTTTTGCGTGTTACCGCATGCAAGCGAATTCGGCAGAAAGTAGATTTACGACAGAGAGTTGTACCTTAAAAATAATTTTTAATAAAAGGCATTAATTTCACTTTGATTAAGAAATCTATTTATCATTCTGTAAGAGCGATAAGAATGAATCTTCCTATGACAGAAACTTAAGAGTTTCTGTTTACCATAACCTTTGGTTCTAGAGCGAATTTTTACAAGGTACCTGTTTTAAAATACTTCTAAGAAATCGAATTTTATTTTAAAAGCATTAAAAATACAGATTTTTGCTCTATTTAAAAGTATTGAATGCCATAAGTCTTTAAAAAATATTCTACATTTTACGCTAAATATATACATCTGTTTCAAAAGTGCGCGAATATGTTTCAGAGCTGTTGTAAGAAATCAAACTAAAACTGAATATTCAACTAGGATCTCTAGGAGGAATCAACTAGGGGTAATCACAAAGTTACCTTTATTTACCGAGTATTCCCTTACAGTTCAAACACTAGCAAGTTAATGTCAAATAAATCTTTATTTATCCACAATAAAAAATAAATATTTATTAATTTATCCTGAGTGGCAACAAACTTTTTTTAGTGCCAAGTTTTGTCATTAAATTTGAAACGTAAATACACTCATGTCCAAAATTATGTTTACATGCATAAATTCACGGATTTCTCAGAGACTATGACTTATAATTTAATGAATTTTCGTGGAATCATACATAATATGATGACACATAAATGCAAAAGAAAAAATTGAAGATCACCTCATATGATATAAAATTGTAGCATGAAACAATAAAAATGGTAATAAAGTGTGACAAAGAGAGTTAAGAAAAAAGGAATGATTCAGAAAAAGAATTAAGTCTTACGAATTTAATATGGAATATGATCTCCCCTGCTTGTCACACATATCACAACGTGTTTTAAGGCTGGAAATAACGTTGTTAACCACAGTTTGGGGAATTAATCTCCACTCTTCCAGCAATGCCGTCTTCAGAGCATTTACATCTCTAGGAGGAGGATGTATACGTGCAATTGCTCTTCCAAGGTATTCCCATAATTCTCTATCGGGTTAAGGTCAGGAGAGTTTGGTGGCCAAGGTATTCGCTTAATGTCTTCACTTTCAAGGAATTCATCAACGAGGTTTGCTCGATGTGGACGGGCATTATCATCCATAAATAAAAGTCAGGTCCATATGCACCCCTGAAAGTCTTACATAAGGATCTAAGACCTCATCTCGATATATCTGGCCTGTCACAGATCCTCTGCTGAACACGTGTAGGGGCGTACGTCCATCGATCATTATTCCACCCATACCATCACCATCACTTCCACTACCGAAAACGGTCACGTTCCACAATGTTCGAGGGATCATTTCGTGTTCCTGACTCCCTCCAGATGTAAACACGTTTAGAATCACCAGTTTAAACTAAACCGCGACTCATCAGTAAAGAGAACATGGACCATTGATGTTCAGTCCAGTTTTGATGTTCTTTACACCAATTAAAGCGATCCCTCTTTTTCTGTGAAGACAGTAAAACACATACCCTTGGCTTTCTGGCATAAAGGCCTTTTCATTAAGCCTCTGTATATTGTTTGCCGTGATGCAACAGCTCCAGTGGCGGCTGCAAGCTCTGAATTAACTGGCGAGCAGTAGCCTTTCTGTTACGACGGGCAGTTAATGCCAGATACCGATTTCAGAAGCAGTTGTCATTCGTTTCCGACCTTGTCCAGGCCTCCTTACAACACTTCCATCATTTTGAAACTGTTTTCCATAGCTTAGAGACTGTCTGTCTTGAAATATTCAGACATGTGGCTGTTTCCATGATTGACTGCCCTGCTTCTAAACGGCCGATAATTCGCCACTTTACAGATTCTTCCAAATGATACTTCGAAGCCATAACAAACCGCTTTGAGTCCCTACAACACTGAAATCAAACGCTATGTTGCAGAAATTCACTCAAATATTCAGTTTGCGCAAGCGCTTGATTCACCCTGGGATGACGTAACGCCTAGATTTGCATTCACAAACCGTTTGATTACTTTTGATTGGATAATGCTAATTAGGCTTGGTTTTCACACATTCCCTGCAAATACGGATCACATTGATTCGATATTTCATTGAATATCACCATTTTTGGGTATGTAAAGATAATTTTGGACATAAGTGTATTTTACGCTTTGCAAAGTAGCAGCACAAAGCTTTTAAATCTTCGATGATGCCTTGACAGGAGCAGAGTTGCCCTATGACAAATTGGTAACGTGTCAGAAATTCCAATAGTCTAAAGGGCCTAGGGTTTTTCTGAGCTAAAGGGCCGTTCCCACTGGGGTTTATCTGAGCTAACGAACACAACTAACGTAGTCGACCCATCTCCAAAACTAGTTTTTCCCCGTAGGGCAGCAAGGTGAAAAATCTGAACTGCAGGCACAGCGAAGCTAGTCGACACATGGAACCGACTCCGTTAGCTGAAATAAACCCCAGTGGGAACGGCGCTTAACGGAACCAGTTCCATTTGTCGACTAGTCCGACTAGCAGTTCAGATTGTAGCTAGTCCGACTAGCAGTTCAGATTTTCAACTTGCTGCCCTATGAGAAAAAACTGTTTTTGGAAATGGGTCGGCTACATCAGTTATCTCCGTTAGCTCAGATAACAGAAACACAATCGACATATAAAAGAAAAAGGAAAGAGTTGAATTACATTTTCGTCATTGGTCAGTAATCCCGCCAAAATAGAGTATTTAACGCACATTGTGGATCCTTGCCATGTAAAATTCGTGGACTTATTTTAATCATATGAATCAAGTTAGATAAGCCACAACAACAATATAATATTTGAATTTAAATAAATAAATAACTACATAAATAACGCTTAAATTGCCGTTCCCACTGGGGTTTATCTGAGCTAACGGAGTCAGTTAGTTCCCTGTGTCGACTAGCTCCGCTGTGCCTGCAGTTCAGATTACTTGCTGCTCTATGGGGGAAAAACTGGTTTTGGCGATGGGTCGACTACGTTAGTTGTGTTCGTTAGCTCAGATAAACCCCAGTGGGAACGGGCCTTTAACGCCCGACTTTCTAAACTATACCACATGGCATTATGTTTGTGTAACTAACTCTCTGGTCTGAATATTGTAACAAGAGCCAAGAAGGATGAGATAAAGTTAAACTCAAATCTAACTATTTATTAATAGTTAAGAATAACTATTTATTAATAGTTAAGAATAATTCTCCCAAGTTTAACTTCTACACATAAAGCAATAATTAAACCATACCTTTGCACGATGTTCTGTCGGGCTGTAAAACATATCCTGAACTACATGCACATCGATGTCGTCCGTTTTCGTTAATACAGATTTGCTCACAACCACCATTTTTGTACCGACAAGGATTTCGTTCTGAAAGGGAAAAGAAAAATGTATTATTTAATTTGTATAGCAATTTAAGCCGTTCCTGATGAAGATTTCTAACACTTTTTTTACCTTGAATGAATAATTTGTTAAAAAAAACATTAAATGCTAATTTCTGTTGTGAGTTATTTTGTTCATGCAACAGAAACACTTTTATGCATGCATTTAAAGACACCTCGGGTTAGCAGAATTGTTTTCCTTCATTATAGAAACTGGCAGTCCAGTACCTTATAAAACGGCTTTTCATTGAAAAAATGTAGTTCTCGTGGGACATTTTAAAGTTTTCCCAACTCTTTATAAAACTTCAGGTTTGTAAAGTTTATTTAGGTTTTAACAAATTTACACAACTCATTCTGACACAGAAGACCTCCGCTCTTTTCGGGATTGACAGACCACAAAGTTAAAGTAAAGTTTTAGTATTTTCAAATGCGAAAAGTCACACACAACACACATTGTGTTTATAAGTTTTGGTTTAGGCTGTCAAATTTTTCTAGCATATACAGCTAAAAAAGGCTAAAGCTGACTCAAATCAATTTAGAAGCTAGACAATAATGGTTATCAGTCGGTAAGCGGGTCGCTGCCAAAACCTCTCTGCTAAATTCAAGAACTATTTCTTATACACATTACTAATTTGCATCCATCCTGGCAGCAGCCGACGAAAGTAGAAATGATGGTACAGGCAAAATAATAAATTAATGCATAATAATTTTGAAATCCTACAATACTTACAATGCATCTGGTACATATGATCTTATTTCGCTATTAATTTAAATACTACATTCCATTTCTGATGTGTAATATAATTATGAGCCAGCTCCCTTAAAAATTCCTACTTGAAGGCATCGCTCAGCTTGAACAGATAGTTCTTGCATACTTTGCTGTAATCCAGATGATTGAAACCTTTGGCTTTTAATCGGTCATGGTGAATCAAGAGATAGAGTACTACCTTTGCACGCCCGCAAAACAATCAAATTGCACAGTTATTATTGAGGATAGAGTAAAAGAGGATACGATGTAGAAAGTTTAGACGTTAGAGAAATTTGTTGGTTGGTGAGTTTTAAGTCACGTAACTTAATAGGCTATGATGCATCAATGGCCAGAATACCATTATCGTCTTAGCGCTGTTTGCAGGACTGGATTTACGTATAAGCTACACAAGCCATAGCTTAGGGCCCTCACTTTCTTGCCCCCCCCAAAAAAATTAAAATATAATATAAATAGTGTTAAAATATTGTTGCGTTTAATTTTCTTCATGGTTTGTTGCGTAATTTTTCTTCCGTTGGTACGTTCGTTACGGGTTCATGCGAATTTGGAGTGAATAACGACGACAGCACTTCATGAAGTATCGAAGCACACTTTATTGGCCGGTGTTTATCAGGACAGCTCCAAAGTCACTTTTTACAGTCGTCGAAGATCTACTATAAACACGCTGAAACTCAGAGACGCAGCCTTCACACTATCAGGCTATAACGGTCGAGACAGCTTCACTGCAAAGCACCAGAGTACAGTTCCCGACTCTGCTCGGTCGTTCTCGGAACTCCGCATACTCTCGAGACTCTCCACGCTACATACGCGATGCACTCGACGACACACACAGCACAGTTCCCGACTCTTCGGTTCAGACGTTCCCGGAGCTCTACACGCTCTCGACGATGCACTAACCGCGATACACTAAGAGACTCTTTCTATGTACTCGACAACCAAAGACTTCGAAACACTCTCTCAAAGACTGACTATCAGCTCGCTAGACGAGGCACACTATAACTTACTGCGGACCAGCAGGGCTTTTATATAGCATTCGGCTTGTTTCGAGAACATTTGGGGCTAAACCGGTAAGAATTCGTTCCAGAAGGTTCTCCATCCGTCCATGGCATATCGCCAATTTTGTGCCAAATGTGGCAATCCTGCCTTCCCTTGCTATTTTTTGGCAACCCTAAACCTGCTTTGCGGGAAAGCTATCTCACCGCGCCTGTACATTTCGGAACAATATATTATAACAGACTTATAAAGGCCCCATATCTCAAATAGCTTAGGGCATTATCAAGTCTAAATGTGGCTCTGGATATTTGTAAAATTTAAGGAATTCTAAATCAACTTCAGCTATTTACTTTTCAGTTCATCAATCAGCATGCTCTGTATTCGCATATTTCAAAAATACAGTTGTCTGAAATCACGTTAATCATTCCATTGCTATGGCTTACTTCCCTAGTCTGTAACATCAAAACAGTCCACGAATTTTATCTTGATGACGAGCACAAGATTGTGTTTGTCGTTAGCATGCAGTTTGGGCACTTTATGGGTTATACAAAATATTCTTGCTTTTTTTCACTTCACACCAATTCGCTCAAAAGAACTTTCGGTTCACCATGTATTTTAAGTGGCCTATGTTGTAAAGACACTATACGCTATACACTTAGGCAACTGAAAAAAATTTTATGGATTGACTTTGCCAAAAAAAAGTGTGTTTTGGAATTTTCTTCCTGAAAATAAAAATATTTTATGCCTTTACAGTTTGTAGTAAAAATACTATAAAAGAAAATTTTAAATTCTCTCGCTTCCATTTTAACAAGTATGTGTCTAGTCAATAGCAAAAGACAACCAATTATTCAGATTGTCCGATTATCTTGACAACCAATTTTCCAGACTGTAAGGTTATCAGGACTTTTGTATTTCTACAATACAACAATTTAATTTATTGAGCTCCTCGCAAATTCGGAGTAAAATAAAATTTAGCGATTTGAGACAATAAAAATTAAAAAGTTTGAAAAATGGGTTCATTTACTATTTGGGTGCATCAGTGTCTAAAAATATAATGTTTCTGGATAGCAATAATAAGATTTTGCATTATAATTTAAAGTAATTTATCACCTACTCTCTTTTTTAAGCTTCTGTTTTGGAAACTCCCTATTATAAATTTAGAAAGATAATTCCTTTGTAGAGACATTAGGTATTTTTTGAAAGAAGGAGATGTGAAAAATGAGCAATGCCCTCGCCGGGACTCGAAAAACGGACCTCTCGAATACGTGCCGAGCGTGCTGATTACTACACCACGAAGTCATGCTAAAAGGGCGGGAGTATTTTACATCCCCCGTCGCCATTTTAATCCCCAGTCACCTTTTAAAGGGCGACTGGGGATTAGGGAACCCAATCGCCAAATCCAGGTGGACGAGATCATCATCCACCACCTTTTTTTAGTTTGGGTGCCACTGTAGAGACATTAGGTGTTTTTTTTCTTTTGTTGTTGTTGCTGAGAGACTATGAAAAATGAGCAATGCCCTCGCCGGGACTCGAACCACGGACCTCTCCATTACGCGCCAAGTGTGCTGGCCATTATACCACGAAGGCATGCTAAGAAGGCTGGAGAAATACCTTATACCTTGTTGTACACTTGTTTGCTGCACACTGCTTGTTGCGCATTTTAGACCGCAGTATTATTGCTTGTTGCACATTTTGAGATAAATTTTAAGATCTACTGAAAAAGGCAATAAATAATAAAATACGAACCTTTACACGATTTTCCATCTGCTTGAAGCTCATGGCCGGCACCACATTCACATCTCAGTTTTCCACTTTCATAAAAACAAAATTGTTCACAGCCCCCGTTATTCGATAGACATGGATTCAATTCTGGAGAAGGAAAAGGGAAAATTAAACTGGGTTTAATTATACATGACAGAATAAACACGATCCCAGAGAATTTTGGTCTTATGAAGATGGTAGCTTTACAGGCTATCGGTGATGTGGAGTACAATTATTACGTTCTTAGAAACATCCTTCAGAGATGGTCGTCTTAGGAAGGTGTCACCTTGAAAAGTTTCTCTGTATTCTAAAGTTTTAGCACTGAAGATTGCTACTATTGAAACAATATTAATAAAATACAGCAAAATAATGCCAAATAATAATCAAAAATAAATACATAGGAAAGTTAAACAGATACATTTAAACATTGATAACGCTCATTTCTAAAAGTGATCACTATTTCTGAGAACATCATGAGACAACGGTATTGAAAATCATCATTGGCTAAGAACATACCTCCAAAAAAAAAAAAAAAAAAAAAAAAAAAAAATCGCCAGAACAATAGAGGATCATTTTGGGAAAGTTTCAATGTAACTAGAATGAACTTCAGTACCTCAAAGTTATTAGTACCTGAAAGTAATTAGCTTTGAAACAAACGAAGGAAGAAAAAGCAAATATTTAGATAGACAAAATACTAAAAATAGGACCAGATTAATAATTTGCATTTAAAAAATCAGATTCATTTGCACTTAAATGAAAAATTTTAATATGAATGGAATTAAAATTTATGATGATTGCTAGTGATATACTCTTTAAATACTTTTCTTACGTACATTTATCTCTACATATAATAAAAGAAAGTATCTGTATGTGTGTGTGTCTGTGTGTCTTTCGTTTGAGCTGCGCGTAAGCTAATAGACCCATGGCTACGAAATTTGGTGCATATAGACAAGAACCAATGCACCTCGAAGCGATTTTTTCGAAATTCGAATTCGAATTTCTTTTTTTTTCTTCTTTTTTTTTTTTTTTTTTTTATTTTTTATTTTACGTTTTGTGACGAAATCGCGTCATTGATAATATTTTGTATTTTAAAATTTTTTTTTAAATGAAGCTTGTAGGGTTTATATTTATTTTAACTAACATTTATTTTAAGCTATCTTTCCTGTCAAGCCTTTACTTTCCCCTAGAATTGCCAATGCTAGAGTATGTAAATTGTAGTAGAGCGCGCAGTATATTCAAATTTAGCAGAAGTAAGTTGAGTTTAAATAGAAGGGGAATGAGATTGTAAGTGTGCTTCTTAAATCGCGAACGCGATGGTTGCTAGGTAGAAATTTAAGAACCGCGCGTTTCGGCCTGTGTGCCTAGCTCGGCAGTTTTTGCTGAATCCTTCAACTGCTTAATTAGTAAGCTCGCTGAATCTCAGCTGTATTTTAGAACGCGGTTCGGTTAGTTGAAATTTCAGAGCCTCGTGGATAGTGATCTAGCTATTTATTCATCGAGCCATTATTTTTTCAGTTGTACATTCTGTTTCTGTTAAACCGCCGGGTCGGCGTAGTTTGTGAGCGTCAAGTGAACGCAGCTGTTATTTTTAAAGTGGAATAAAAAGGGCTTTAAACGCTTCTTACGTGTTTGTGTAAATTTACAGTTCGTAGCAGTCACTACCACAGTTGCTGACAAGCTAAGGCAACACCATACTACAAGCTTCCGAGTACACTTCTCCATCTTACATCTTTAAAAATGTGATTTTGGCAACAATTTTCCTGTCTTATTGTTGTTGATAGATTTTTGATGAAATCGCATCATTTTGAACAGTTTCATTCTTTTAGAAATATGGGTTTGGCAACAATTTTTCATCGTATTTCTTATATCACTGTTTTTAAGAGATTGGCATATTTCATTGTCATTTATATATATATATATATATATATATATATATATAGTACATTTTTATTGATTTTTTTTTAATAAAGTTGTTCTGTAGAGTAAAATTCTGTACGGAATTTTATGTTTTTTGAGTTGCTTTCATGTTACTTTTTGCTTATTTCACTGTTTGTATTGAAAAGTTTTGCATGAATTTTTTTCTTCAACGGAAAGTTGGTTAATTTTTTTATTAGGATAATTAATATTTGTATTAAGGGATATAGCTTATTTCCTTGTAATTTTTTTCTCTTGAAAATAAAAGATAAAATATCATTAATTATACTTTACTTTTCAGAATTTTTTGTTTTTTCTATACTTTTATGTTATTTATTGCTCATTTCACTGTATTATTTAAGATATTGAAAAGTTTTGAGTGATTTTTTTTTAGGAAACAAAGTTCTTAACCTCCTTTATACATTTGAGTTCTTAAGATTTTGCAAAGGGAAGCTGATTAATTTATTTATTATGATAATTAATATTTGCATTAAGGGATATTGTTTATTTCATTGTAATTTTGTTATACGAAAAAACTTTTTTTTTTTTTTTTTAAGTTGTTCTGCAGAGTAAAATTCTACGGAGTTTTTAAATTTAACGCTTGGTGTTCCCTTCCGTCATTTTTCCGGTACCTTTAAAAGCCAGACGAAGGCTGGCAGCGAAGCTACTAGTATTTTATAAATATGAAATTAAATGCTTTTGTTGAAACGGCAGAAATTTAAAACCTAGAAGAAGTTCTATACTGAAATCTGAATGGGCTGTCTCAGTTTTCGTCTAGAAGCACTTCGAAGCAGGAGTTTTAAAAAGCTCTTTTTTTAATTATTATTACTATTTATTGCTTTCTTGATTTTTCAGAATCAAGGTTTGTTGTACGTTTATTGTGCTGCGAAATTTAAATTACTCACCTTTACAAGTCTTACGATTGGCTTGTAGCACAAATCCCGCCGTGCAACTGCAAGAAAGTGCTTTATCCTTATAATGGCAGTACTGTTCACATCCGCCATTGTTGACGAGGCAAGGATTTTCTTCTGAAAAAGTTTAAAAAATTAATTTTCACTTGAATGATAAAAGTTCTAATTATTTTAATTATTTAGCTGTGACAACTTTCAGTTAGTTAAATACTAGCAATCAATCGAAAAGATAAAGATTAATATCTTTTAATTTACATCTGATTTGGAGGAATTATTTCCCTGTATTATATGTCGAAATGCTAAACTTTGCTAAATGCCGCCCAGCCCGTATAGGTAAAGGTAAAGGTAAAAGTATGGGGGACACCAGCGATGTACCATAGGTCAACTGGTAATGCCTTCCCATACTAACTCTTTGAGAGAAAAAAAAAGGGGGGTAATTGCAAGTTTATAAGAATTTGCATAGACTGAAGCTTTTCAAAAGGTCTAAAGTTTGCCTATTATAGTACATCGTGCAATTCCACAGTACGCCCCGTATCCAGTATTCATCCAGTATTTAGAGCATAAGTAGATTACAAAATAGTAGGAATACAATTTGAGATTCACAAGATAAATTGAACATCTGATTTGGTGCAACAAAAATAGGAGATAAACATAATTAATAAACAAATAAACATAATGAGATAATTATAATTAGTACTGGCAACACAATGTTAAATGAATTGTTATAATAATGCTAAAGAGGTAGGTGTCCATGGGTTATTTCAGATATATTGGTTTAATGCAGTTTATAAAGTTCACGAGCGGATCAATTTTGTCCATAATCGCAGCATGTAAAAGTTCACTAAGTTTAAACTGTATGTGGACTTACACTTGACAGAGATCTAGGCCGTAGGAAGAGAGTCGTTGCATAATTTTCTGAAGCTTTGGATATTGATGTTTATCTTTAATTTAAAACCTTTGGAATGCCAGGAGGTCAGTTCTTGGGGATTTTATGTGAATATCCTCCGTTAAGGGGCATGAGAAAACGTAGTGATCAGGAGTTCCCTGTTCCCCACATATGCAGATGTCAGAATTTGCCAAATTTCTTGCGTAAAAATATGTGGGGAAGGGTCCATGTCCTGTTATAAAGTAATTTAGGGAAGGATTCGAGTTCAGACATGCTAAGCTTACATTGGGCATCAAGTTATATGTGCGTCTTCCCTGTGGAGCATTGTTCCACAAATCTTGCCAAGATTTTGAAGCAAGTTGTTTTAGTTGGTACTTGAAATTTGAGCGAGGCCACGGAATGATGATTTCAGTACCATCTTGATTAATAGCTGCTTCTTTGGCTAGTTCATCTGCCTGATCATTACCAAATGGCCACTATGTCCTTTGATCCATGAAATTTGAATTTTGTAGTTTGGGATTTTTCCAAGAAGAGAATTTATGTCGGATATCAATGGAGAGGAAGGTAAGGGATTTTTAATAGCTAGAATAGCTTGCTTGGGAGTCAGATTTTATGCTAAATTCATTGAGATTTTTGAGAATGGCTATTTCAATCGCTGCTTTTATAGCTGAACAATTCCGCTTGGAAAACACTATTATTATTATGGAGATGGCCTTTCCATTTGATGATATTTGATGGGGGTAATTTGAAAAAAGACTGCGGAACCAACTTTTCCTTCAATTTTTGATCCATCAGTATAAGCAATTGGAGATGAACTTGAATTTTCTTCAGACGTGGGGAATATTATTTTGCTGAAGCGAAGCGCTGGATGGATAAGATTGGGGTTAGTTTTCTTTTCATAGTTGGATGGCCAAAAGGTTTGGTTGTTGAATTCTGCGGCTTGGTTAAGTTGAAGAACTTTCATATAGGTGCATTCCATTTCTGCACTGATTGATAACGGAAGAGTACCAGCTAGAGTATCAAGTGCTATATTTGAAGTTGTGCGATACGTCCGAGTAATGCAAAGAGTAAAAGGCCTTTGAATTGAATTTAAAACATTTCATCTTTCTTACTGTCATTGGTTGTGCCCAAATTCCGGCTCCGTAATTTACCATTTTTGAGATGACTGTTTTTAGAAGAATACGTGTTATATGGGGATTCAAGTCCCAGTTATATCCATGCATACGTCGTAGGCAGTTAGCTATTGATGTTGTACGAAGTTTAATATTTTGTAGATGAGGAATCCAGGAGAATTTTTTGTCGATTGTTAAACCGAGGTACTTAATTGTGTTCACAGATTTGATCTTTTGATTGTCAATTTTTAGAGCTAAAGCTTTAGTTATATTTTGGCCTGGTTTATGGATCACTAAGACTTGGGACTTACTATGTGAAATTTGTAGTTTTTGAATTTTGCAAAGTTGGTTAAATAACTGGAGTATTTCGTTGCAATTATTCTGTAAAATGTCTCTGGTACGGCCACTTGTAATAAAAGCTACATCATCTGCAAAAGCTGCAATTTTTGAGTGATCTGGCCATGGATAGGCAATGATGTTGTTGAAGCTGATATTCCAGAGATCTGCACTCATGCAAGACCCCTGAGGACATCCTCGGACTTGATTACGCACAATTTCAGTGTTGTTGTAAAGAATCATACTTTTCCTGTTTCTGAAGTAATCTTGAATAATTAGAAATAAATTTTGAGGGCACTTAAAGGAACGCAGCGCTTGTAAAACTGCTGGCCACCATAAAGAATCAAAAGCTGATTTTAAGTCGAGACATATTATTGCAGAATGAAGTTGGTTGATTTTATTGTTTCTGACTTGTTCAAGAGCTGAATTAATTGCATGACTTGTTGAAAGTAGGTTTCGAAATCCAAACTGGTTATTGCTTATTAAGTTTTTGCTGTAAACATGAAATTTTAAACGACCAATAAGACATCTTTCCAAAACTTTCCCCAGGGCTGGGAGAAGATTTATCGGACGATAAGATTTAGGTTCATCGGAGCTTTTATTCTTCTTATTGAAGAGTATTATATTACCAATTTTCAGGCAATCAGGAAAGGTAGAGAGCTTCTATACATTGATTGCAAAAACTACAGATTATGTCAGGATGGGCTTGATTGATTAATTTTATAATGTGGTTATTCGATGCCATCTGGGCCTGGTGCCTTTTTTAAAGCTAGGTTTTTAATTATTTAAACTTTATTTCTTGTTTTGAGAACGGAATATCGTTGTCTGTTTGTGGAATGTCATCGCAGTTACGGATTCTGGTTTGAGTAGGCGAATCTTCAGCTGGATCACTCTTTTAGAAAGACAGAGTCAAGAATCTCATTTAGGGTTGAGAGAGTGGCATTCTGAATTTCAGCAGAACTTGAAAGCAAATTTGAGGAAAGTTGGATTTGTGACGGTTTAAATATTTTACTACTGGCGATCTTGTATAAGGTGCCATAAATTTCTTTATTGTTTGAACAATATTTGTGCCAACTCTTTAATTTAGATTCGAGAATCATCTTTTTGTAGTTTGCATTTTCTTTTTTGAATTTGAGCCAGGCTTGGTGTCTTAATTCATCGTCAGTAATCGATTTCATTTTCCGTTTCAATGCTCTCGCCTTATGCTTTTGAGCGCTTAACTCTTTAGTCCACCAATTTATATGAAAGTAAGGTTTTGCAGATCGTATTGGAAAGGTATTTTCACATATTTCTTGGATTTTTTTTATAAAATCTTCTGTAGCTTTATTTAGATCTTCTTTTGTTGCACTTACTTGGAAGGAAGAAGTCATTGGAAATGCGGATTGTTGAATTTGCTTAATAAAGTTCTTTTCTTTCTTTATAGTAATTTTAAAACGTTTCATTAAAACTGATTCTGAGTTCTCTTTGATTTCAAAAGTAATATATTTATGATCTGAGTGGGAGTTGTCTTCTTCAATTTTGCGATTTGAAATCGAATTAATTAGGTGATGGGAAGTAACTACGAGATCTGGCCACCCTCTCCCATACATTGTTTCGAAAGAATGTAAATCCGAGGCTTGGTTATGAATGACAAGATTATGTGAATTGAAGAATTCCTCAAGGGACCTTCCTCTTGGACTTGTGGAATTGTAGCCCCAAAGCTGGTTGTGTGAATTGAAGTCTCCACAAATTATGTGTGGACCTCGGAAGGAAAACAAGATGGATTCTAAATCTTGAAGCAAAGGAGAAATATCCTCGGAGGGATATGCATAAATACTTGAAATAAGAAGTTGAGAGTTGGAACTATTAAGACTGATTGTAACTAGGTCTCTTTTGGCTGTAATTAGAATTGGGTGCCAGCTATGATTAAAACTGATGATAGCTGCTCTGGGATGTTGATTGGGGAACTGAGGAGAATATTGAAAGACATTCCAAGACGTTGGAATGCTACTTACTTTCCCTTCGATACAATAGGGTTCTTGGATTAAAACAAAGTCTTTATGGTTATGAGTTAAGAATTCTGCTAGATGATCAGAAGCCGTTTTTGCTCTTTGTAAGTTTGATTTGGAGAAAAACGAATTGAAGAAAATGGTTATCGAGTTTATTTTAGCAAGGTTGGGGGTAGATTATTTTGTACATCACTGTCCACTTTATAATCTTGAGTTGAAGTGTTATTCTTTAAATTGCGCTCTTGCATGTTAATATCAACTGAAGAAATTTTAGTTATGGATGATGGCAACATGTGAGGTTGTGGCTTTGTCCGGGTACAATAATTTGTTGAGCTGACTCTTGTACGTCTGGCATGTTCTTTCATGAGCACCGTGATCAGTTGGCAACAAAGAACCAGTTTCTTGGTTACTTCGCATACAGTTTACACAGAGTTTTACGTCTGAGGTACACTCTCTATGGGAATGTTGTTTTGCGCAGATGGAACAGCAGGGAGGATTTTGACAGCTTCGACTATTATGTCCAAGACCCTGGCAATGAAGGCAACGGGGAAGTGAAATGTAGGGACGGAAGGCACGGTTGAATCCAATGAAGACTCTTGACGAAGTAAAATAGTCACTATAATCTGAAGAATTTTCTACAATCCAATTATTTGTATTTTCAGATCGGTGAACTGGAGAACACGAGATATCAAGATTATTATTTGATGTAATTTTCAGAAAAGCCGATTTGATATCTTCAGCAGCCGCTGAAGATGGTACATTAAACACTATGAGTTTGGTACTTTTGGGTTTTGA